CGAGCCTGCCTTCCGCTACGAGCGGCCAAGGCATTTGAACGAAACCAAAAACCGCGCATGAAAAGGCGCTGACACCTAAGGTAGCTCAAACAAGACGATGTGAAAAAATAGCAACTGACTCCATAATCATATACCCCACGCGTAGCTTTCCCACGTCTCTTCGTTTCTCTTAAAAATCGAATCGTGCGACAAGCGAATGCATGACAATAAACAACTGTTACTCTGCTTCTCAAATAAACGTAAAAAAGAAAGATTGACTGAGCTTGAGAAAGTTCTCAGTTCTGCTGGGAGGCAGAAGGAGCACCTCGTATCAAATTTGTAGCGGATTTTAATACACACATTTAGATCGAATTCCAAAAAAGAATTTGCTCACATAGACAAAACCGCGTCATACATCAGCACCAGATATATCTCTAATGAACTGTCCAAAATTAAAAAAAGTATTTCCCAGACTGCAATCTAGAGACCAAACAACGGTTATGCCTTGATTCCCCTGGTAGTGACGCGAAACAGGGACGGAATTCTGTACATGTCAGAAAGAACCGAAGTTGTCTTTCATGGCAGTTATATTTCCGCGTCAGAATGAACTTGACGTAGTCTGGGGTCAGCTTACCCCTCGAACATGTATATACTTTTTTTTTTGCTGGCTTAAGATTACCGCATATTTTTAAGTGGTGTCTTGAATCAGAGCGATGATATCCATAGTTTGAACCGGACGCGCTACATCGCTTGGACGCGATACACCTCTAAAGGTAAAAAATACCTAACCAATCTGCACCCAAGGAAGCATGTTTCAAGTGTCACTTTGGATTTGTACATTCCAAATTAAATATTTAAAAGAAAAACAATTCCCTGATCAAAGGATCCAAAAATATCACTGTATCAAAACAAGTTTCTTTTTAACATTATAACTGTTTGTTACTGAGTTTGTTCAGTTTTGAAAGTTTTGAATCATTATTTCTTCATTGGTGACGATCAACAGGGATATTTTCTCATTTTAAGCTAAATTGTCATTATAACCATCAATTAATTTAAGTTGGGAAAATAATTATTTAGCTAAATAATAACTGAAATAAACAACAACTAACAAAATTTGGAAACTGAATATTTTGGACTGGACTACTTTCACAGGCCCTTCCTTCCCCAGTGTTCTTCATATTACAAGACCAGTTATTGTCACTGCTACAATGAACAGCAGTATGTTAGCACAGAAACCCTGCAACTCTGCAAGCTTTTCATCTTCATCTGCACTATCATTTTCCCCTACGCTGCAAGCAGAGTCTCCTTCAACCATCCTAGAAAAATCAGGAAGAAGAAGGAGGCTCTGCTCGCAGGGTAGTTTTCCCCAGTGTACAATAATATACTATGGATTGAAAATTGACGTGCAGAAAGCCAAAGCACCTTTCCCAGTATCAAGCCACCTCCTCCATTTCTCAAGGCAGTAGTTCTGCATTACTTGATATCAAAACACGCACACTTTATTGTACTCTCTAAGTATCTTCTCTTCCATTAGAAGAGGTAGATTGAAATGTGTCCATAGATATAGTGCTGCAGACTGTCATTGCAGCCATGCTGATCGTGCCAATAACTGTCAACATAAACACTGAGCAAATATCGAGACTCCTTGGGTGGACTGTGCAAAATAACATTATTGACGAAAAATGGACATACAAATAAGTAGAAATCAGCTTAACTTGAATCAATGTATGCTTGGCAACTTGCTAATTATGTGTTTTTTTAACATTTGCATATAAAAATCTAACTTTTTCCCAACACACGTAGACTAAATATATACTCATGCCTAAAGACAATTAATACTATGTAGCATCGTGATGTTTTGTTGATTTGTATGGTAGTAGAAAAAATACTGCAACTTTTGTTTGTTTAGTTACTTGGCTGCAGGAACTTTGTATCTGTGGGATAACTGTGTTTTCAAACCTTTGATAATTTTTAGAGAACAATTTCTATTAATGTTGGAAGATATGATGATGCAATGATATGGGTGTTTAGTCCCTGGTTTTGCACACTGCCTGAGGACATAGTGTTATCTTCTTTGGCTAGAGAGTTAACTCTCAGTGTCTCTTTTCACCAGTAATACAACAGGGACCATCAATCTTTGAAGGAAATGTGACAAAATGCTGGAAGTCCTTGGGGAGGGGCATACTCCCTTAAGGTTTTTGGTGGGGCTATCGCCCCAACCTTGGAACCTGTACACTTTTTCAGACCAAAATGTGTGATTTTCCACATCCTTTTTCAGACCCAAGCCAAAAATGGACATCCCATTACAGACTTCTAAAGTTAGCACACAGCTCTAATATATGACCACAGCTAACCAGAAATGGCTTTCCTTTGCGCAAACGTTTGAGAAGGGCTACAGATGTGCTAATGTTGATGCGGAAAAACAGGTCCTTGTAAACAAAACATCTAATTCGGAGTGAAAAACACACCCTATTTCAAACCAAAATGGTCAAAATCTGTACCCTTTATCAAACCAAAAACGCTCAAAAACCATACCCTATTACCCTATGGCATTGCATATACCTATATAGGCCGCATAGGGAGTACCCCCCCCCCCCTGGGCCTCTGCTGAGGGCTAACCTGTGACAGGCTGACATCCCTCCAAGGGGGAGCACTAGCAATATTGCAAGCTAGTCACTTCATGCTACAAAAGCAAGGGTATAAGTTCTGTACACTGTTAAGGCCAGTTTACCCGAGTTATTATTAAGTTTATACAGGTACATGTGATGAAGCAAATCCCAAGCTACTGAATGAATTACGCTTTGTAATCTTTCCTTGCATTGCCGGATTATGTTGTTATGGGGACAACGCCCGCGAAACTTAACTTATGTGCCATGAAAACTAGAAGTTTGAAACACAAACTAACTCTTTAAAACTGTGAACTAATTCAGGTAAATTAATGAGCCGAAAGAGCAAAGGACAGCTGACCAAGATAAGCTTACATGCCATTTACATTCTGCGGCACCCTTTTAAAAGCGGATGATTGATTTCTCGTTGTTTCGCACAAAGCGACGAAAACATGTATCAAGAAGCACGACACACTTCCAGAGCCTTAGCATTTCTATTTTAAACTTTTCTCTGGCGTCTTTCCCCTCTCCCGTTGCCGCTGTGACAGGCCTGTGGTTTGCAAATCAAAGCTCCACCTACACGTTACAAACAACAGCGCGCTTGCGAAAGTAAACAGCTGTAAACAGAGGGAGCCTCTCAACTCTTAAATTAACCGACTGAATGAACGCAGTTATTAACCCATTGTATGACCATGGTCACTAAAACTATTATTGTGCAAATGCATAAAAAACACTGACCTTTCGAGTTTGTTGTTACAAAGAAATAACCTCCCATCAGACTCTCCAACGACCTTTCGCTCTGCCGCCATTTTGTTTGTGTTTACCTAGCATTCGGAACTTACACGAAGTATACGTCACAAAATGGCATTGTTTAACTTGTCAAAGGAAATCGCGCGTGGTTTGAATCATGCGTGCTTTATGGTGTCTTTTTACAAAGTACAAAGACTCTTTTTTCGTTTTACATCAAATTTCAGGCACTTCTGGCGATGAACAAAAACCCGATTTCTCGAACCCTATATTTTTCAAACCTCCTGATAACTCGAATCAGAAGTCGCCCCTCGCCCCCCTCCCGTCGGTCGTGCTCAGTTCAACTACCCGATTTTAAGGTGGCTCCCTATAGTTTTAGGACCGCACGCGCGCTTAGGACGAAAGCTCAAGTAATCTGCACGCGCTCGAAGGAAAACGTCAGTGTTTTTCGATATTTTATTACGTCAACATGAGCACAACAAGCAAACCTGACAGTGAATTTTCTCGCGTTTCCTTCGGTAAAATTTCGTAAAACTTGGCAGATTGGTAGTAAATATTTTACTTTAGTCGGAGCTCGTTTTTCAGGGAAATCTATAAGACCAGTTTTGTCGCAGCGGTAAAATACATAAATTTGCAAAAGTCGAAACCCTGCCTTTACAAACCCTACTTTTTTTCGTGTTTAAAATTCGTGTCCCGCATGAAGCGATATGCTGTGAAAATTTTGGAAGATTTCACCGAAGGAAATTCAAGAAAATCGCAAGTAAAGCCATAAAAAAGTAAAAAAAACATATTTGTTCGGGCATTTCTAATTCAAGACTAAAACCAATAATTTTAACAGAGATGATAGTAAAACACTATTTAATCATTGCTTATTACATGTAATTAGTTTGAGAGGACTGGGTGTAAATACGAATGCAAAAACGGGATTCAAAACATAACACTTACGCGCGCAACGCCATAAATGATTACCCTATGGAGCCACCTTCATTAAATATCTGAAGTCAATCGTTTTCCTTACAGGGTTGAAAAGCGGAATTCCACTGTATGTGGATCTTTTTGGCAGTGCGACTAACGAAACGTGCATGCATGCGGACGCAAAAGAAATCTGATCGCGTGATTTGGAATCATTACCCAAAGTCACTTAAATTGGACACTTCAAAAAGTGTAGTTTTCTTTATTATTCAAAAAAACCCAGTAAATTAGCGTAGAACGTCATTTACATGTTACACTCCAAGTCGGAGAAGAATTAATTTTACGCTTGCTTCCGTGACGATAGAATTTTGCGCTTTAGATTTTACGAACGAATACTCAAACCCTGACATAGAGGAAAGCTGCAGGTCTTTAAAGAGTAATATAATACCAATGAAGGTGTTTTTAACACCTAATGTTAGTCTGAGACTGAAAAGTTACGCGATAAATAATTAATTATCTGAATAGTAAGTTTCCCAAGCAGTGATAAAGCTATGAATAAAGAAGTCGTGATCTTACCGATCAGCCAGTAGAACTAGTTCAGTCCCTGGTCTGGACTCTCTTCCCCGCTCTAATATAGGGGTTGAACCCAGGCGCATGCAAAGCAAGCATTCCCATTCGAAGAGCTTTTCCGCATTCTGACCGCGCGTAAATTGGAGCGAGAGAAAAAAATTGACGAAGCAGGGGGTGCTTTGTCGATTTTTTTTTTTTTTTTTTTATAACGCGCTCCAGTTTACGCGCGGCCAGAATGTGGAAAAACTCTTCGTAAGGGAACGCTAGCTACGCAGGCTACAAGCAAGTTATCGTGGACTTTCTCTTCTCCTGCCGGAGTACAACCTCTACAGTACATACAGAGCGCCCGAGGGACGGCAAGTTCAAGGACTGGACTTCCAGAAGAACACGGAAAAGAGATTGCGAGAAATACTTCATTCTTATTAGAATACATCAATAATTTTTTGTTCTTGTCGTCACTCTCCAGCAAAACCTTTCTTCACCGAAGAGCCATTGACAAAAACTCCTAAACAGCCTTTGATAATTTCCCAGTAGATTAAAATATTCTATTATTGCGGACCAATAGCACGACACAAAATTATACAACAGATTCTATCTCCCGATAAAGATGACTTCAAGGTTTCGTAAGCAGTATCCAAGTATTGGTGACCTGGATAGCGACATGAAGTTCAACTTGATCCTAGCGATTTTGAAACCAAACACCGTAAGTCCTTGCTTGTGTTATTTTAGAAACGTTGTTCTCCAGTTTACTACAGTTTGCTACTGGTGGCTTGTGCCATGCCAGGAAATTCATCATCAAAGGCTGCACGCAAAACGTCCTCGACTCGATTTGCCAAGATAAAGGTCATCTCGTCCTGATGGAAAACAATGCAAAAATACACTTGATAAAGATATGATTGTGCAAAATAACATCAAAAAATGGACAACGATTACGGGTTTCGATTGTTTTGTTTTGGTATTTCTTTTAAATCAAATCTCTACCATGGATCATCCAGCAAGGAAGACCAAGAGAAAATGGGAAGACCTAAGGCAAAAAGTTAAAAAGAAAAAGATCCGTTTACCCCAGATTTTAAACGTGCTTGGCACAACGAAGACTATCGGTGGACGGGGACCGAAAAGTGTGTGACTACACCAAACACATGAGGGAGAACCCAACCTGGTTCCCAGGCCTTCTCGTCTTCCCGGGGCGGGTAGAAGAGCGAACCTGGGAACGAAGTTAACAGAGAATCGTGAACCGCTCGATGACCTGAATAAGTGAAAAAGGTGGCTAATCTCAACCTCTTACCTTCACATTATCTGGTAGTTCCGACAGATCCTAAACAAACAAGGAACAAGGAACAACAATCAATTACCACGACAAGATATTCAAACATTCTATAGTTAATCTATATGCCGTAAAATGCACGCAGAGATCAATATCATGCATTTTGACAGTCACCCTGCAAGCAAAGCCTTTTATTATGGTAGATAGGCTTTGTAAAAAAGAGAAAAAAAGAAAGGCTCTGCTCGCAGGGTATTTGACAGTATACTACGCAATAGCTAGTCCGCGAGCAACTTGCGAGCAGGCTTCTTGGCGCTTCCGCACCAGACTCCTCCCCGTCGTATCGCTTCGTTCGCGCGTGTGACACCTAAGGCGAGGCTACTCGCAGACTAACCACACGAGAGAAAATATCTACAAACCAAACAGCTTAAAAAATCCAATATCAACCTTTCTTTAACCCAGATGGTTTAAAAAGACATTGCAAAAAATCCCCTTGTTGTTTTGGGCACCAACACAACCCTTACTGAATCAAGAGAGTCAACGAGCTTTCCTCATTTTCATATTATTGACCACTTCTACCACGACTCAAAATTTTCCTCTTACACGCATTTTTACTAATATGTCTTCACCTTTTCGTTTCTCCTTGGTAATATCACCCTCCTCAGTCCAGCTCTATGTGCGGCTAATACTTTTTCCTTGATTCCACCAACCTACAAATAAGCAAACACGTCTTATGGTGAAAATAAGTGCAGAATTAATTCTATTCGTGTCGTTTTCAAGGTACCCAAAAGTTAGCCTGTTCCAGGCTCTTGGTAGTTGGGGACGAGCAAAAAAAAAGAGGGCCAGCGAGAGAAAAAACGCCTTAGTTCTCCCTCGTTGTTTCTCTCGCTCGCCCTTTTTTTGTCGCTCGTCCGTAACTACCGAGAGCCTGGAACAGGCTACTCAAAAGTAACCATGCTCTTTCAGATGTGTAGATCCTCACGCTGAATTTTCCCACCGCCCTGCAGTCAGTAGGCTTGGTTAGCAGTCACTGTTCGGGAAAGGAGCCCGAGAAGGAACTGGACCGAACTCGAGAAAACGGCGGAAAAAGTTGTGCTCGTGCAGTTAATTGGTCCAGAAAATGAGAAACGAGAACTCTTACGGTAAAAAACCTACCGGTAGAACAAGGCCTCTCAAGGTTATTTCACCAGTCATGGCTGTGTCAGACCGAGTGCACCGGCCACTGGAAAGAAAAAATAAAATACAGATTGAGTCCGATAATCCAGCCACAAACAGGACACCGAAATATAAAACGAGAAATATTTCAAGTTCTTCAACGAGTAAGAGGGTCGACCTATCAAAGTCTTACCGAATGAATGTAAAAGATAGATGTACCTGAATAACGAGACCAAAACGGTGACAATAGTGACACCAGCAGACGGACCATCCTTACCAACAGCGCCTGCTGGGAAATGGATATGAACATCTGTGCGCTCCAGTAGATCCACGCCATCTTCTGCTGTCAAAGAGTACTGCGATGGACAGACAGAGAGAAGATATGGGGAACAATTAGCCTCCTTCAGGCGTTTAGCTAGATGGGGCGCAGCGCAAAAAATGGCCCAGGAGAAACAGATACGGGAGAAGCGCGGCGTGGAAAGGCAAGAGAACGTTTGTTCGCTCCTCGCCCCAAGCCTCTCTCTACTTAATTTTGCTCCCTCAGTCGTTTTTTCGCTCCATGCTCCAACTAAATGAACGCTTGGAAGAGACAAGAGAGCCATTATTTCTTGAGTGACAAAGACTTGGCACTTGGTTCACGCAATACAGACCTCCGAATTTTTCTTCAAGGGTTATTCAAAGATTTCAAAGGATAATTTCGTAATATTCGAGGACTCGTTTCAGTCAACTCCAGTATCGACCAAATCAACTTTTTGAGACTCAAAATTATGTTTTTCTTGCCTTACCGTTGACATAAATATTGAATTTTTTTATCATGTGGTCTCAAGTATTCATGGACTTGTCCACAAAACTCAAGGACCGCTGGTAAAAATTCAAGGACATTTCAAGGAGAAAGCCTAAAATTTGCATTCAGTTTCAAGGTCTTTTCAAGGATACCGTCCATTAAGACTTTTCAAGACCTGTGCGAGTCAAGTCAGAAGAAAACTAATTCGTGTTTTCAGAACTCGTTGCCTTCCGCTATCATCTGAATAAAAACGAACCTAACCGCTCGTTATTCACTGTCAAGGCAAACCAAGGACCACTTACCTCGACTGAGCGGCTCCTCAACCAGCTTAACGCTAACTGCGCAGATTCCTTCATGACGTCACCTAAAGATTAAAAAATGTTTGAGCTTAGTGAAGAGTTCACATTGAACGACGAGGTTAACGCGCTGGATGTCAGACCAATTGGTATTTATGTTGTATTTTTGCCGAGTAACATGCTTTCCTCGACCCCCAGTGTCTCTCTGAGGCTTAAGATCGCAGGTGACCATTTTATTTTCTTGTCGTTTGAAATTCGATAAAATAGCCAGGAAGTAATTGACCTACCGAGCTGTCCAGTCAAAGTTATTTTTCCTTCTCCGCCCATCCGTGTGGCTTCTACAAACATGATCTCTCCACCCATGGCTGTCCATGCTAAACCTAAAGAAAAAGACCGAAGATTGTGTGTTATCCATAATCTATGATCACCACACAACAGAGAAAAGACGATCTTAGCTTAGACATCTTTGTTTTCTTTCCCTGACGAATGGAAATAGGGAACACATGCCCATGGGCCAAGGGAACACGAACTCAGTTTGCCAGGCACCGTGGGGATACCTGTTACTTACATGTAGCAACGACCCTTGAAGAAAAGTAAAGGTAAAGTCTGCATACGAGCCAAGTGGCCCGTCATGCCGGAGCTTATCTCCGGTTTCTGTAGCATGACGTGATTAGGAACATTTTTACTCCACGAGTAAAGTGTCTTGCTCAAGAACACAACACAATGTCCCTGGCCAGGGCTCGAACCCGGATCGCTCGATCCGGAGTCGAGCGCACTAACCATGAGGCCGCAGCGCCTCCACAGAAAGCCATGTTCAATTTTCGCAAACAGGAGTCGGGAAGGCTCTCGTGTTTGCAACATCGTAGGCTTAAGAAATAAGTAGCAGGAATCAATAAATCACAAATAGAAATTACAAACTCACCAACAGCAACGCCTGGAGTTGAGAGTCTCTGAGCCACTTCAGATTCAAATATAGGAGGCTATGGGGAAAAAAATACATCGCGCCAAAATTAGGTCAAAGAAAACTTTTATTGTCAAAAAAATAACTTAGAAAACCAGAAGAAGAATCGCGTCATTTAAAATGAATTTGACAAAGAAATTTTCGAGAAAGCCGCCTTCTTTATTGGGAAATATTCATCTCACCCCCAAAACATCTACCAAGAACTTTTCAGTGACCAAAAAGGCCTTTTTATCAGCTGTTTGGGCGGAATCACTCTTGTGCTTGTCTTTCAGTTCCTTGGAGTCTTCTTTACTGCCCGCTTCAGCTTTCTCCTCAGCTTTCTCTGAAGCATTTCTGGTAGCTTCGGCGACCTGAGAATCAAATTCCAGAACAAAATTAATTGGTGACCCGATTGAGTCAGTTGGCGACAAATGAGAATACCGTACATCTCCTCCAATCATCGTCTCTTACGCAAAATGCAACATGTCGGTTTTCCTGTGGCTAAATCTAAAGTAACCTACCTGTACAGCGACCGCTCTACACACGCCACCAATCTTGCGTTCGAGCGACCTCACGCCAGCCTCCCGAGTGTAATTAGAAACTGAAACAAAAGGCACAAGGAATCATGTCACTAAAGTGTACTTATTGACGCATTGCTTCTGCGATATGCAAAATAACTTGTAAATGGAAGGCAACCTAAAAGTAACGTGTGAAACGACCAAACCAAAATCCGATTCTGAATGTGTTTTGTACTCACTAACTGCCTTCAGTGAATCACCAGGAACCTCAATGTCCTGCTCAGTAAGTCCGTGCTCCTACAGAAACAAGAGCAAACTAACAGTTAACATTAAATGTAAGGTACATGTATAGAAGTACTTGGAAGAATTTTCTTACCTTTAGCTGTTTGGGCAAAAGGTGGCGCTTCGAAATGGCAACTTTTTCTTCCTGAGTATAACCTGGGACCATGATTAACTGAAAGTTGAAAAATAAAATTAAAGTAAGATAATGAAACGCCAGAGGCCGGGCACCTGGCAAATTGACCGGATGTGGGGACGATTTTGCGCGCCTGGTTTGACCATCTAGAGGAAAGATTCTCTTCGAAAGAAGTTCAGTTCAAAGCATTTTGCTCGGCTGTGAAACCAGTTGTCCTTCTGCTGAAAACGTTAAACCCCTGCATTGCCCACAGCAAAAAGCAATAAAAACAGAAAGTATACTATCACATAGGTTATTACCTCCATTCGGTCTAGTAAGGCAGCAGGAATCGTGCTGACGGTGTTAGCAGTGGCTATAAATAACACCTGAAAAATAACAGGGAAATATAAGAAATATCTTAGAAACTTGTGGGAGGTCATGACAACAAAGACGTCGGTCATACGGAACAAAAGATACTTACTTGTGAAAGATCAAATGGAATGTTGAGATAGCTGCGGCTGAGTTAAGGAGACAACAGGTAATGTACTGATAGTAATGAGGTCCCTACTATAACCTACATGTGCCTACAGCTAACTGTTTACTACCTCTTAGACTGACTTCGCACGCATTAGAGCGGTTTTCAATTGAGTGTCGTAAAACTAAACCTAAAGTAATCGCTTCAGCCAATCACAAAGGACATAGAAATTGCAGTAAGCTAGTCAAAACTCGAATTACCTGTAGCTGACGCAAAGCGCGGGAAAACGAGTGCGAACTAGTTACGATTGGTTTTGGTTTTACTTCTGATTGGATGAGAAATTGGCGCGTGTTTTTTTAGCCAATCACGTAGCGTAGTAAGTGCAAAACCAATTTCTTTTCGTCACTCAAATAAAAACCGCTCTATAATAACAAAGATAACTGGTTTGAGTATCATTGAAGCAAACGGAATCTTTGTCACTTCCTCTGTTTATTTATATGTTTATAATTATAACTACAATCTTGTAAATTCTTTTAGTTGTTTACAGTAGTAGAGATTAACTGTTGTTGTTGTTGTTGTGATTTAATCATAGTTAGTACGAGATACATAATTTAACCAAATGCTTCATTACTGCAAAGTTAGAACTCTTTCATCTGTAGTTTATAATGCAGGTTGAATTCCATGTAATTAATGTGCATTGTGAAATAAACTTACAAGAATTAAAATTTGAAAGTACATATAGAGACCTAACTCTACTGGAAATCAATCCTGACCAAGTATTCCGTTCCGAGCATTAGCCCTTGAAAGGAAATGGAAGACCACAAGACGTTAAGCATAATTTTTTGACTTGGTGAGATTCGAACCCACGACCTCCTTATTTAGATCACCTTTGCTCTTCCAGCTGAGTTACGAGGCCAGACGAGAGAGGGGAGTAGGTGATAAGGGGATAATTTGAAGCAAGGAAGATATTAAGGGTACAAGGGTTTCCATAGTTATGACAATAAATGGGTGGAGTAGCTTTTCTTGATATCATGAATGGTGCAGGATACTGGTCAACAAATGTCCAATTCTGTTCAGGGTCCAACACTTCCAGCAAAGCAGCAGAAGGATCGCCATGAAGACTCTTTCCCTGTAAAACAAGGATCAGTGAGCTCAAAGAACACAGAGTGACAACCCCAGTTTCTGGCTGGAACCTTGTCTCTGTGAAGGGGCCCTTCGCCGGACTAGCTGTCATGTGGCTGCGTCAGCAACGTTAAAATTACATGTAATGAAGTCAAACGGGTTCCAGAAATCAATAAAGCAGTGGACCTTTTAACTGATGTCATGCAATATTAACAAAAAAACACCTCCATAGATCAATTTATCATGCCGAACTTAGCAACTATGCAATGTTTCGTACAAATCCGTTGCAAAATCGTGAAAATATGGCAAGTGTTGCTCCCTGGCATACACATGTACATTTCTTTGCAAAAACTGGCAAGTTTGGGGCCACATAATTTCATAAGTTTGCTGCAGATTCTCATGAAACTCTGCATATTTACTAACTTTGGCATGATATATCCAGCGGGAGGCTGAATTATAAAAAAAATATGAAAACAGTCCGTTCGAAAAATATTATAAGGAATGCCAATTGTTTAGCCCCCAAGTCGATTAGTCTCAAACCAGAAGTCTTTTACCCCCATTAAAGAGACAGGGTTTTTGACTTCTGGTTGGGGACTAAACGGTGATGGGCTAATCGACTTGGGGGCTAAACTACCAGATACTGTTGTAAGCAGTGAAACTGATTACCATCTTGTCGACTTCATCTAACAGAATGACAGGATTCTTCACTCCAACTGTTTTCAAGGCATTCAAGATCCTCCCTGGCATTGATCCAATATAAGTCCGTCTACAATTGATGCACCAGCGTCAGACATTTTAGAAATTACAAAAACTAGAGTGGAAGTGTAACAGCAGGAGACAACACTTACCAATAACTACAACTGCAATTTTTCTATTAATTTATTTTCTTTCACAATACAATAAAGGTCAATAAATGGGAACGACTGAAAATCAGTCCATGTATTTTTAAATTATAGAACATTTTCAGGCAGTGTTAAACCTATAGAGTTTTAGAAGGATCAGTACACTTTCCATGATCATTAAATAATTAAAACATTCCTGAAATTTAACAATCTATACATGGCAAATTGTGCTCAAATAGTGCCTCCAAGATCAAGTCAAACTTACCTATGTCCTCTGATGTCAGACTGGTCACAAATTCCTCCAAGTGAAATCCTGAAAAACAAAATGTTATTGCTGACTGGTAGTGGTGCAGCATTATAGGCCCTTTGCACAACCCAGTCACATGGTACAACACAGTGAGACTTCCAAAACAAAGAAAAGTCAGGCTGGATTGGTGCTAGTTTTTTTGTTTCTGAAGTCCCACTGTGTAACTTGCGTCCCAGCATGGCTGATTTGCACTTTTAGACTGGGTTATTGTGCAAAGGGCCTATAGCATATAACATGAACATTCAGAGTCAGCTGTTCTCTGCAAGTTACATTACAAAAACCAATCTTGAGGACTGAACAGTCGATGTATATATGTACAAAGCAGTAACTACTGTTTTACAATCTTAGTGTATAGTATGTACAACTGTACCTCTGAAATTCCCTGCCAAGTGTGTTTGCAATAGACCTTCCAACACTTGTCTTGCCAACCCCAGGTGGACCAACAAAACACAAGATTGGACCTTCATGACAAGAAATAATACAGTAATGCAAATGTCCATGTTTAACTCTGGTAGAACCATCAAAAATTGTCTAGACTGTATATAAATAAAGTGTGGTGATAGACTGAAAGACAGGCAACCTAATACTGCCAAGTGGTGGAGAGGCTGCAACAAAATTACTATTAACTGACAGACAGACTGACAGACAGACAGACAGACAGAAGAGCTGATTGTGATAAGTTGCAGAAAGCTTCTCGATATTTAAATTAGTGGCTTGTTTTAGTCAACTGGTTTTAATTTAATATTATTATTTAACATATTGTGAAGTGCATTTCAAAACAGATGTTGAATTTGCACTGCTTATTATCACTTACTGCAAAGTTTTGTGCCTACTACAGGTATTTTACCTTTCAAGCTGTTTTTCAGTTTGCGAACAGCTAAATACTCAATGACCCTCTTCTTTAACTTTTCCAAACCATAATGATCATGATCCAGATCAATCCTTAAAAACAAGTCAGAGCATTTGGGCTATTAAGCAGAAGGAAAAAACTACCAGTTTAAATCACATAAAACATAGGAAAAAATGTAACACAAAGAGTGACCTGAATAACTCAGTATGTTATGAAGCCTTCTCTTCTCTTGCTATATATCTAGCCAACAGCCCTTTCCCACAAAATTTTGAATTAGTAATATTGGGAAGATAAAACTCCCTTAACTAGCATTTCTTTCAAATGAACAATCACTTGAACCATTATTCAACAGATCTCATACTGAAAATTAGGGATATGCCCAGGACATTTATGATTTTTCACTAGATGACACTGATTTACACTTTTCTACCTTACAATTTTTTTTTCTATTTTTACTTTCTTTTGAATTTTAAAGTTAATTTGTTACCTTGCTTGAGAAATATCTAACTTGTCCTTGGTTTCTTGGCTCCATGGAAGATCAACCATCCACTCCAAATAATTCCTTAATACAAAACAGACAATATGTAATTTTGGACTCACTGCAAAAATTGCTGGGCCTTGATTTCACAGAAGAGTTACCGTTAGTGAAATTAATTTCATGCAATTAAAGAACAAGATTACCTAGTGGTAGCATGTTCTGGAAACTGTGGCGGCATCTTCTTCAAGCGCTGCATGAAAAGAAATGATCAGTCTTGAATTCAATTGACTGTTCAAAAGGGAAAGTAAATTGAAGACTGTTCTAAGATTTACATTAAGCTGACTATTAAGTTATTACATTGTCTTCACTAACATCAGTGAACTAGTTTGCATGCACGTCACGGTAACTGTACTTTTGTCATGTTCAACAAATTTCTTTCCATTTAAAAAATTTTAAGATCCCAAAGTACATGTTGTTGTAGTTCAGTAACAACAACCAAAGCAACATTAATATCAACCAATTTATGAAACTCCAAATCAAAAACAACATATCTTCACGATGACACATTTGTCATGCCCGGTGCTATCCCTGTAGCATGAAGGCATGCATGGGTTGAATTGCATTTATTGTGAACTTCTGTCTTTCATCAAACTGTTGGTATACAAGTTGTCTCTAAGTGCAAATATATAATATATATCTTACCTTTAACTCCTTCATAGCCACTTTGAAAGCATGTTCTGGTAGATCAGCAGATCTGGAAATTAAGAAGTTATACTTAGCTCTTATTAATCAAGCAGGAGGTCTGTATGATAGAATCTTGACCAAGGTCATGAGTACAGACCTCACTGCGTTCGGTCTGTACACATGACTGAGGTCAAGATTCTCCCATACAGACCGACTTAGCTCAGTTAATAAGATGTTTATTATATGGCAAAGAAGAAAACTTTAATTCGTTTAATGTAACTGGTTTGCTGACATTTTGCTTGAAAACGGAGATGAGCTTAACTTTGACCTTTTTGTCATCACGCTTTTTGGCACTTCCATAAATGATTGAGCAGAAAATAAAAGAAAATGGTGAACATGTTGGTATTTTAGTTTGCTACTTTTTCAACGCAAAATGAAACTGGTCTAGATGCCGGTCTAGATGGGAAATCTAGACCGCGGTCGATAACAATTTCAGCCAATCAAATTCGTGAATTCGGTAGTTCCCAGTCCTTGTGAGACACAGCCATATAATAAAGTGCAATAAAAATCATATTACAATACCCCATTCCTTTTATGAGACACATGCAGGGAATCATGGTAGTTGCATGGAATGTAGTGCAACAAGTCTCCAAGATGTCAACCACGTGATGCAAACAACTACCATGATTCCCTGTGCACAAGTATCATAGGGGGAATGGCCCATTAAAGAATCAACTCCAAACATAGCCATATCCACTGTCATAAAATCAGAGGGGTATGAATTCTTGCCAAATTAAATTCCACAAAAAAATTGATCAGCTTATTGTATCATGGTGAAAACATGTATGAGACAGTGCAAAATTCACTTTTTCTTGATGTTGAAAGATGCAGCATGGACAGCCAGAACTCAGCCTAGAGTGGAAACTCATCAGAAACCCTAATCAGTAACTTTCAATTAAAATTAGTTTTAAATGATATATTACTCACTTTGGAAAATTAGTATTACTATAAAATAATTATAGCAATTTAACCATAAATATTCATAGAACACTACTGTATAATTTTGTCATACCTTATTTTCCTCTCTAGTTCCTCGACATCATCTTCATCATCATTTTCATCATCATCATCAAAACGTTTTGATACCCTCTTAGGATCCTTTGGTACAAGCATGTTACCACCACGCTTAAACAGAAAAGTTGATGGTGAAAAAAGCGGAACAATTTACACGAATTCAATCGCAATTTTTACTAGAAATGTACTTTAAGCACACTGCAATTTGGCACTATTGTTGTCCTGCAGACATTAAGCTGCTCAGCTCCAATCCACGTAAAATTTTGTTAGACAGACTACATCTCTCCTGTGTTTAAACTGGAAAGCTATGTTAATCAATATATTCAATATGTGGACTATCATTTACATGTACAGCTGAGAAAAAATAAAAAAACATACCTTTGAATTATTACTCTTCCACAACCTGCGGTTAATTACTTCAGGACCACTTCTCAATGGGTTTTTACCTTTCATTCCCTAGAGAACAGTAAGTGTTCATACATGAGCTTATGTCTAAGTTACATGGATTGTATATGATATTTTATATCGTAAATAATCAAGAATTTCTCATGTGGACTCGTCAGCTAATGTGAAAAGCCTGGTCCTGTCAGCTACAGCATGAACATATAAAATTATAATGTTATTACTGTAAGCGTTAAGTTTAGAAAATGTAAACTAACACTGTCTCGTCCATTAAACAGCTGAAACTGTTTATGATCCATTTCATCATAGCTTGAGCAATTCAAGAAGTCATGTGCAGCCAGTTAACTAAGTACAGTAAGTACAAAAAAGGAATTACCTAACTGCAACTGTAATACTGAGAGAGTGTACATACATGTACAGAACTACTTGAAAATACACAGCTGGCCAGAATAGTGATAATATATGTAACCTTGTCTCATACCTCTTTTTGCCTCTTCAGTAAATGGAGGGATTTCTTAAATCTTTCAATCAAATCCACAGTATTTAAGATCTGAAAAGAACAGTCAAAGTTGAAGGAACTTCACAGCCAAATATTTGTAACACAGACAAGTTACATTTTCATACATGTAGTACATGTAATTTGTACTGTACTTGTTCCAGTCACTTACATAGCATATCACATGAATGTTCAGACAATTTAATAAAATAGAAATAACACAAAAACTACAGACAACAGCCATGCAAAACCTCTCAACCCCTGTTATTTTGCCATCAAGCATGTTACATTTCCCAATTTTTTTCTTTATTTTTCACCCAATCATTCATTCAGACATGAAATGTCAACTATGAGCTAAAAGCTTGTTAAAAATAACTACAAATATACCTATGATCTAGATCTATCTCAAATGGATCTTCAAGAGCAAAATACTATGATTATTACAATAACCATTATTTGTACCTCTAACTTCTCCAAATAGGAAGCTTTCACAATTGACGTTAGCGTGTCAGGAAGACTTCCATCTGGAATACCACTCAACATGTCCTGCACAGGGCAAGAAAAACAGTTAGCTAGCAAGATTGACTGTCCTTTTGAGACACATGTACCTGCACATAGTCAAAGAAATTGAGAACCATTGTTTTAGACTTTGTGGTTCATATTTATATCATGTATACCTTTAGTCGGGAAACAACAGGAATTCTCCCATCAAGCATATCAACTATTTCATTGGCAAACAGTCGAAACTCCTCAGCTAGGGTTGTCAAAACTGCATTTTTCCTAATTTCTGCCTCTGTAAATTAAGTGATAGAATTTGAATTTAATCTTTGTCATCAGAAAATTACAATATAATTAATAACTTATTAATAATTCATTATAACTACACTGTTCATGTAGCTTCTTAAAATCTATGTGTACTTCAGTGATGTAATAAGCAGCATTTCAGTAAAAGAAAACTTAAGTCAGTATTTCTAGAGAAAATATAAATTTCATTTTGCACCTGTTATAACATTGAATTCCCACCCAAACAATTTGTAACTCCCAATGAATCAAGAGAAAGTTATTGTACACGTACATACCCTGTTCGGTAGGTCTGTCAAGTTGAGTAACCTCAGCTATTAAATATGGCTCCTCCATGACTGTTTTGTCGATTCTAAATCGGCAGAGGCCAGTTACAAGCAGGGTGTACAATGGCTTTGGCCAGTTAGTTCCTGTTACCTGGACTACCACAGCTGCAGTTCCCGTGGCATGCAACAGCGACTCTTCATCCTACATGTTAAAATATAACAAAGGTCATCTTGAGAGCCAAAATATTTAATATAGTGACCAAGGAGATGGGAGATTCCCATATAAAAACAACAATCGTGCTCATCGTACCTTTAAGGGGTTAAAAAGTAGATCTGGTACCTCTCAGGGTATTCAGCCTCAAAAGGTCCACAGCAGTTGAGGTAATTGCTTTAGAATTGGTATCTCTTAGGGGTGAAAAAAAATTTCAAGCCACACCCACAAAATGGGATCTTGGTACTTCTTAGAGGTTCCCTTCAAAATTTTTGACAAGCACCCCTTGTCTTTTTTATGTAAGGGTTCTCTCCCCCTCCTGGGGATGGTGACAAATGAAGATTAGTGGACCAACCCAAAGGGAGAAACTAACTGCTATCCACATGACATGGTCGCTCCAAGGAAATTAAAAGGAACCAGAATATCATTTTGAGTCAAGGTAACAATTCTGAAATGACAAATTAATTGACATTAAGAAGTTTCGCTCTGTGTC